TTAATTTTATTGAAAAACAAGTAGCAATGAGACCTTTTCAAAACAGGTTAGTAGGACAGTTACAATAATTAATACATTGCATATTGTTGTCTTCGTAGTAGTTATTCATAGTACAAGATATAAACATGATATCCTGTCCAAACACTATTAGTATTAATCTTTCTTCTCATTGAATTAAGAGGAAGTAGCTTAACATACTCTTTAAAATATTTTTAGAAATGTAAAAAAATCAAAGCAAAGAGAGACAAGAACAAAAACAGATATTCGTATGTATGCACACTGCTATGCCTTTACATTCTCAGGTATGCAGTCAGGCTACAGATCATGTGACCACAAAGCATATACATTCAGGGACAGGGCACTCAGAATGATTACAGCACAGTAATCACATATACTTAAAGCAAGTAACTATTCACACATTGACATAGGAATGACCTTTACAAATGCTCACATGCAAATCCAGTTCCTTATACTCATATTCAATAACATATCTCAGATCCATCAATGTATACAAAATAACACATTCAAATTGTACAAAATCTTCATCTGTGAATATACATCCTGAAGTCTTAAGAAGTGCAGATATAAATCGTTGATACCCATTTTATCCCAACACCAACCTTGTTGCACACATATTTGATGTTCTGTCTTCACATCTGTGTACACAGAATGTTGAGGGTTAACACTTCCCACTTCATTAACCTGCTCCCTGAGGGAGACAGTGAGAACCCGAGGCAGATGGAATGAGGCGGGAGGAGAGAACTAAAGCATTAGGGAGAAGCTTGATTCTTCAAATAGACACTGCTCTGAGTTCTCTATTATTCTGGAGCCTTTTTAGAACTGCTGAAGATCACGCTTGGTTTCATCAAAAATAAAGCAAATTTCATAGTGAGTTATTCCTGTGCGCTAGGCATCTCTGTTCTTTACAGAAAGCAACAGGCTCAGAGAATCTCCAGGAAGCTGGGAGTCACCATGATACTCTACACAGAAAGGCCTGACTCTATGGGAGCTCCAGGTATAGAGATCCATGTAAACTATACTTTGTTCTGAGGTCAGGAGGAAAAAAATCTGAAGCTCACTGTGTCCTTCAGGGAGACTGAGAAAGTAGGCAAGATGCCTTTAGGCACAACTCCTCCAGGAAGGAGGGTGCATCTGACCCCAACCTGCTCCACTCTTACTTTAGGTACCTGAAAGCAACAAAACAGACTAACTTTCCCTGAGATTAATTTTTATCAAGGTCTGAGGCCATTTTGTCATTGATCTCTGCAGAGACTTGTGCAACACAGAGAATACTGGAATGTAATTATTTCCACATAACGGGTAGAATAAGGAAGGTCCAACAGAACCTGTTGGTACCATGGCTGGATTCAAAACCATGTTCATGAATGAAAACTGAGCACTTCTCCATGTGAGAGTTTAGCTCGTGTAACTAAATGCCCTCAAACCAAAGCTGCACAGTCACTTTACACATTAGACTTCATTTTGGGGAAGCAGTAAGCAATTTAGTGAGAAGTTAAAAAAGTGAAGTCATTCAGCTCTGTTGTCAAAGAAGGATCTCGTTTAATTTCAGCTTTTGATATGCACTATGTTCACAAAAGTTCCAATTTCAGACTAGAGAAAAAAGAACATTTTGGATAGTGTAGTAGAAGAGGGCATGTGGAGCAAAGTGGGAAATTATATGAGCCTTTTTCCCTCTCACCTTAGGGAATGCACAGTTTCGTTCTTAAATTCAATGGCAACCTGATAAACTGAATTTTCATACTGAAAACATCATGCTGATCAAAACTAACCAACGATTTGTCCAATTTTTATCTGATTTCCATGACTTGGAGCCTTATTTGTGGAGTAAAACAGGTAAGAAAATTTCTGAGAAGGATGGTGCTTGAATCCAGGAGACAATGGGAGAGAACAAAAAAGAAACAGAGGAACCAAGAGCCTTGCTTCCAGATCTAGACCTGACCATACATGTCACTCTGCTATTCCAAAGTTGACTCAAGAAAAGAAATCTAAGAAAGGAGTATATGAACTAACAGAATGAGTGGTAAAGGCTATGCTGCCTCTCGTAATGGGGGAACTCTTTCCTGTAAAAATTAATTGATACGGCTTGATTATGAATGGAGAAGAGAGGAAAGGAATTTGTGAAAGAATTCCAACAATGTAGATGGTGGAAACGTGGATGGAGTTACTCTACTCCAAACAGTGTGCAGAGCAGGTGAGTTCACCAGTAAGGCTCATGTATAGAAGAGAGTAAAGACCTATGCCATAGAAAGCATCACATCCCCAGGGACACCAGGAACCACTGCAGTTCCCATTTCAGTGAAATAGGAACTGAGCCCCAATCCAGGCCTGATTGTAAGTCAGTGCCCAGTTGTTCAAACCTCCTTAACATCTCCCTTTTTTATGATACAGTAAGCATCTCTGGTGAACCTAACCAGGCTGGGTTTCCCAACCATTCTTAACTCAGCAAATACAGAAGGGTGCCTACTAGAAGCCGTGGCTCCCAAGGCAAATTTAGTGTCGTAAGGGCTGTATCATTTAACCATTATGAACTCTATCATTCTCTTGGTAAATTGAAGATGAGAGGATTTGCTTGTGTTATGAACAACTTTAAAAACTGGTAACATTGATTCTCAAAAATATAGCAATCCCTTTCACAGATACTCAGAGATTAGTATGTACACTACAAAATTCTACCTTAATCAGAACCTCTTCTGGTATCTTTTACTGGAAAAAAGTTGTCTAATGTACTTTTCCAAGTGCTGTGACACTTTTGAGACTGCATTCTCTGCAAGTAAGAGTGACATGGTTCAAGAGCCATGTGAGGAAGAGACAGAAGTAAACAAAGCACAAAATCTTTTTTCTTAGTTTAAGTAGTATGAATTTTATTAGATGCTAAAATACAGGGAAAGATAACAGTAACTCTTTAATAAATCCTTAAATCAGAAAATAGAAACAATTTTTCAGCATTAAGCTTTTTCAACTTTAGATTTTAGTGATATATGGTTACCCATGTTTATAGCAGCACAATTTGTCATAGCTAAATCTTGGAAACAATCCAAATGCCCATCACCTCAGAATTGGATAAAAAAAGATGCAGTATTTTTGTACAATGGAGTTTACTCAGCTTTAAAAAAAAAGATAAACTTGAGGTCTTTATAGGTAAATGGATGCAATAAGGGGATATACTCATCATAAGTGAAATAAGTCAGAGCCACATGTGTAAACAGCAGATTGTCTCCCTAGTATAAGAATCTGAAAGAATAAATAAAGGTACAATAGATATAGTTAAACAAATTTTTTTTAAAAAATTCTCCACATATTTTGGTAATAACATTTATTTTAAGCAGTCCTATAAATATCATCTCTGGAGGATGGTAGACATTACAGCACAGAGGGCAAACTAGAAAGTTGGAGCCTTTTCTTCCATATTATTAAAAATCTAGGGACAATTAGAGAGAGGCTAGACATATTTGGGATTTTGAAGACATTCTTTTCAGAAGCCACTCTGTATAGTTAAATGGAACATTTGTTAGTTCCCAGAGATGACTTAAGAAAGTATACCTTGTTGCTTAGTGGTTTCCATTATGAGCAGGTTAAGAACATAAGCTTTCAAACAAAGGCAAAGAACAACTGAGATTAAAGCGCTGAATAAAAATCAAGTTCAATGTGTGCCATTGATCCTGAAGCAGGTTCCAGTCATCACAGGAATTAAAGAATGGAGGCAACAAGAAACAGCTAAGTCTTTTTGTCTAAGGGAAGCAGACCAGGGTAGAAGAAAAGGCAATGAAAAAAGAAAGAAAATGTGTCATGTACATGTACCAACTTCCCATGATGAATGCAATCATTACGTAATGCAAACATGTACTAAAAAAATTTTTTAAAAATTCTCAAATGAGTGGAGAAAACTCATGCAATGCAGGCACACACCAGACAGTACACATAAGGATTCACTGGCCATAGGACAACCAGTGCTATGAGAAAGGATATGGTCATGTGTGCCCATGGCTCAAATTAAGGTAAAGCTAGCCCTGTTGGGACATGTCAGGATATAGTTAATCAGAAAGTTTATTACCACAGAATAATGATATTAAGAAAATGTTTGGTAAATTCCTCTGCACCAAGTACAGAGATAAAGGGATAGCATAGTGTTCACAAATGACCGCATGAAACATTATAATCTAAGACAGCATTTGGTAAATTATAGACTATAGAACAAACTTAGCTTGAGCCTGTTATGGTAAACAAAGTCTGTGGAAAAGCTGCCACACACATGCATTTGTGAATTGATTGTGGCTTCTTTGAACCACAACCCTTAAATTGATGTTATAATAAAAAATTGAAGACACATAAAGTCAAAAAAATAGTTATGAACTGACCTTCTCCAGAGAAGTTTGCTAATCTCTAATCTAAGAGAACACATACACTGAAGGCAATATATGTAATTACAAGTGTACAGATGATCCACCAGTTATATTCAAGCCCCAGTGCTAATGGCAGCTGCTTTAGAATCAAAGATAATTTAATATCACTAAATTGCTCTGATCCTTTAATCCACCCAGGCTTCCTGCCTTGAAATGTTGTCCAAGTAACTTAACAGAGAGACAGAAATGAACATACAATAAAGTTTGATCAACCAGTTGTTAGCTGACAAGAATGGAAGATCAAAACTCACTAGGACACTGCCAGGAAATATTTCCCTTAGCAGATGTTGTCTTTAAAATAAAGGTTAACTTTCAAGAAATAACTCCACTTTAAGTGAAAATAGTCTACCTCATTTTGAATCCTGTAAATGTGAAATTTTAAACTTAGTAGCACATTTTCCTGTGGTAAATTTATATTATTTAAAAATAATTGGCTTCATCGGGTTTAAGATTAACTCAAAAAGCTTTATAAATCATAAATTCAAAAGTCTTATAAATAAAAATGTCAATAATTGTTTTCATTCTCACCTGCAGAGAACAGTTTGTGTTGGAAACAAAGAACATAACATTCCTACATGTATGTTCACATCAAGGAATAGCTCTTCTCATCCTATGTCCTTCATCCTGCTAGGAATCCCAGGTCTGGAGAACTCCCAGTTTTGGATTGCCTTTCTGTTCTGTGTCATGTATGTTGTGGCTGTTGTTGGAAATATCATAATCCTACATATAATCCGAATTGAAACCACCCTTCATGAACCCATGTACCTCTTTCTAGCCATGCTGGCCATATCTGACCTAGTTCTGTCCTCCTCTACCCAGCCTAAAATGCTGGCCATCCTCTGGTCTCATGCTCATGAGATTGAGTATCATGCCTGCCTCACTCAGGTGTTCTTCATCCATGCCTTTGCTTGCATGGAGTCTGGGGTGCTCATGGCTATGGCCTTGGACCGCTATGTGGCCATCTGCTTCCCGCTGCGGCATTCCAGCATTCTGACCACATCGGTGGTGATCAAACTTGGGACACTCGTGATGGTGAGAGGGCTGTTGTTGGTGAGCCCCTTCTGCATCATGATCTCCAGGATGCCCTTCTGCCCCAGTAGGGTCATTCCGCAGTCCTACTGTGAGCACATGGCCGTGCTGAAGTTGCTGTGTGCTGATACCAGGGTCAACCGTGCCTATGGGCTCTTTGTGGCCTTCTCTGTTGGTGGATTTGATATTTTTGTCATCAGTGTATCCTATGTGATGATTCTGAGAGCTGTGCTGCAGCTGCCCTCAGGTGAAGCTCGCTTCAAGGCTTTTGGCACATGTGCTTCTCACATCTGCGTTATCCTGGCCCTGTATATCCCAGCCCTTTTTGCCTTGCTCACCCATCGTTTTGGCCGTCATGTGCCCCAGTTGGTGCACATCATGTTTGCTAATGTCTACCTACTGGTGCCCCCCATGCTCAACCCCATCATCTATGGAGTTAGAACCAAGCAGATCAGGGACAGAGTTATGCGAGGGTGTTGTGGAAAAGACACCTGAGCCAAGGATCCTGCTGCCATTGTCTCTCCAAAGGCTACATTACTCTGGAAACATATGAAGAAATATTTACATCCCATTGCCTATAATCTACCACAGCTAGCAGAGAGGCCAACAACTGTGTACAAGAAAGAAGAAATATTTTCAAAATATTCCAAGCTATTGCAGATCTGTGATGGCCCATACAGACTTTGTTAACCTATGTTTTGTGTTGCAAGACAACTGAGAGTTTTTCATATAAAATAAACAAATATTTTAAAAGAATATTTTTCCATATATTAAGGTGAAAACATTATTTTTGTGCAATTGCTGAAACTATAAGTTGGCACACTATGAAAAATGAGTTTAAAATTTTCTTCCAACAGATAAGGGATATCTGATGCTCTCTACATAGAAATAGAATTGTTGAAATAAGTACATGTATAATAGGCATGCTTAAAACCATACAAAATAATTTAAATATTATACTCATTGAAGAAATTGTAGTTGAATGTCATGTTACATTAAAGTATTGCATTGAGACCCAGTCC